ATGATATCTTTAAACTTCTTTTTCATTTTGTATTTTCTTATTATAACTATTCTTATTTTCTCTTTTTATAGTCTTCTTGGTACTGGTTAAGGATTTTTAGTTATATTTTCCTAAAACTGGTTAGGAATAAATTCACTATTTTTGTTCTTCTACAAGCTGCTTTAAACTTTTAGCAAGCATATTTAAACTTAAATTGCTATAATCAACAATTGATCAGTATCTGTAAGCTCCTTTCTCTACTTTCTAGTGATAAAGCCTTTATCAGGCTTTTAATTATTTCTATATCTGCTCTTGAAATTGTTGAAATTATCTGGGAGCTTCATTTCAGATAAATGTTAGCAATAGAAGTTGTAGTGCTATTAGCATTATTGGTACTATTGTTATTTACTTGCCATCTCCATTTTACAGGAAACCCTTATTAGTATCGTATTAATAATTGCAATTATTATTTACATTTAACTGGTATTTTGTGACATTTTGCTTTATATTGTCTATAATCTTCCAAGTCATAGTATATTTTAGATCCTTTCCTCTGTTTTTCTAGAATGCCTCCTCACTTAATTTCTGCTTATTTTATGAAAGGCTGTGTGTAGTAAAATGTCTGAGTCTCTGCTTTGTTCAAAAGAAACACCTTCGTTGTCTTTATTCTTGATACAGACTTACCTGATTATAAAAATCTCAGGTTCAAAATAACTTTTTACAAACCCATTATTATCAGTTATCTTCTAAAATACTTCAAGTAGATGAGGAAAACATGATTTCCCTTTTTAGAAACAAGTCTTCCCAATTCATTCTTCCTAAAATGCTCATTATTATTTTTCCTCCAACTTGTCTACCATGCAAATGAAAAATTCATATTAATAGTTCATAAGAACACCTATAGAGAACTCTTTTTTAATTAGTGATAAGCACTTTTGTACCAACAAATTCCATGTATCAGCCAAAAAAAATCCAATTTCCAAAGCTGTATTTAGCAATGATGCAGTTAGTTCCTGAGTTTTAAAACATGCTGTGAATTTTCTTCCACTTACGCTAATACCTCTAGCCTGCTGGGCAATGAGGCTCTCCCTAACGTTTTCCTCAGGAAAGGATACCCTGTGGTTTGCCCTTGTCAGTCACTATCTCTTGCCCTTGGCTTTCAGATGGATAAACCCAAAGTGGCTGATGTCTTTCTTGGGTTATTTTTGAAGACTGCCTCCCTATTGACCTGTGAGCTCTTAGTAAAAACTGTCATGAGTTCTTATCCTATCTACCTGATATTAGCACATGGTTATCCATGCTCCTAGAGCTTCTCTATCTACTTCTTTTGACATCCTACATTCTAAGACATCAGGATTGCCAGGTATACTGTGTCTTCCTCACCTTGGCCAATGAGTCTGGCTTGGTGTGTGTGATACTTGGTGAGTCATTCAGTGATTCTCCCGATTTCCTTTTGGACTCCCTCACAAGGAATATTTTAAGATTCTACGGTAGTACCAGATTCTGCAGCCTTCTCTCTCACTTCAGATCACTTGGTGATCTTTCTTTACACCCAAGGTTGAGGAGTCTGTCTTCCCTCAGGTGCTACGTGTAATTGCTATTCTAGCTGTCTTAGTATAGTAGATGCAGGTGTCTGTGTCTCTGTTCACTCTCAGTTATAAGTTGCATAAAGTTGTGGCTATCAGAATTTGCTGCACAGAGAGTGTGTCTACGTGTGAAGAGTGCAGAGTGGCAGGACTGATTCTGGCTATCTGGTCATGCTGTGCACCTCTTTCTTGACCCTCTTTAGGTAGGAGGACACACCATGCTCCCCATCCGCTGGATGCCCCCTGAAAGCATCATGTACCGAAAGTTCACCACGGAGAGCGACGTGTGGAGCTTCGGGGTGATCCTTTGGGAAATCTTCACCTATGGGAAGCAACCCTGGTTCCAGCTCTCAAACACAGAGGTAAACGAGGTGGGGGGAGCCTAGGAATCCTGATTTGGAGGCAGGTTGATAAGAGAGATCTCAGTCCTGGAATTGGACATAGTGTAAAAAATATGAGGTGGGATTTGGAGCCAGCAGAGTGAATATAGGTATAAGCAGGAGGAGAAAGTTTCTCTGCAGGGGAAAAAATTGTGATTGTAAGGAATGTGAAATAATTGTCAAAAGACCATGAAATCAGATGTCTAAATTGAGACACAAGTCATGGTTCTGCTTGTTCTGCTACATTTAAAAATCACAAATGTTTCACTAAGACAGAAAATGAAAACAAAGAACAACTATGAGTTTTTCAATTGTGCCATCTTGTGGAAACACCTACTTTTTAGTATGCCCAAATAATCTGGGTTCCCAGTGGTTTTAGACATGCAGGCCCGGGGATGTAGAGGATGGTGAATTGAGAAAGCCCATTTCACATAACTGATTGAGTTATGTATGAGTTTCCAGGAATAAAATAAATCAAAATGGTAAGCTTAATGATAACAAACAGTATATTTTATATTTTTAACTTAAAATAACTATAAAATACTAGTAAATGAGTTTTAATAGTAGTTAACATTTAACACCAGGAACTTTTCTGAGTGCTTTAGCTATAGGAAGTCAGTAATTTTCACAAAAACACCCACTGAGATTCAGGACAAAGGAAAGGAGGTTGCTTGGGATCCTGGAGTAGATGAGCCAGGGCATCAGAGGTGAGATCTCTGGGGCAGAGAGAAAGCCTGGGTCTAGTCCCAGGGCTTTCCTGCCTCCAAATTCATCCAGATGCTTCTCCATTATGGGTGGATCAGGGCTATGTTGCCCAGGGGATTAGTATAGTTCACAGACAGGAAGGGGGTCAATCTCCCACCTCAGCTGACCTATAGAAAGTTCCAATTTTTTTATGGTTTTCTATTTTCTGGTAAAACACAAACACAAAGGCTCTTCAGTATTTCACTCTTATTGTAATATTCAGCAGAGTGTCCTCCTTAGAAGCTGTGTCTATCCCTGCTCTCCTATATCCTGACCACTCGATTTAGTGAATTTCAAACATTGAAAAGAAGGCTGTTCTTTAAATCTGTGATCTCTTATCATTCACAAGCTCAATGGGGTCTAACCACATTTCCTAAAGTAAGACAAAATACTTTGACAACCTTTTAAAATAAAGAAAGAGTGTTTCAGAATCTATTCATGATGGTGTTTTTAAAAATACTATCATTCCTGGAGGGTGGGAAACATGCCTGCACAGGTATCCACATGGCTACTACATGTGCACACAGACATGCACATACATATGCCTGAGCACAGCATCTGTATAGTTTGGTAGTCTAAAGAGAGGCTCTGGAGTCAGGGTATTATTGGTCTTAGCAGAAAACTTGTCCTGGATACCTGAGCTGCCTCACAGTAGCTAACGGGAGGTTTGGGGTTTCTTCTAAGGCTGCCTGGTGAGGCACTGGCTTGAAGGCAGGCTTTCTGGCCCCAGCCATTTCCCCTACTCCACCCATCACAGCAGCCAGGTACTGGCAGTCACTAATAGTGGGTTTCTCTGTAGAAGTTGACAACATGGATAGTATCACATTAGAAGAGACGCTACTGAATGCTTTTGATCTTAGCATCAGCAGCTACTACTGAAGCTTGAATTGGACCCTTTTTTGTGGAGGTGAAAGTAATAGGAGTGAAAATTGGGCTGTCATACCAGTGGGGAATAAAAGTAGCTGGAGACCTAGCAGCCCTGCAGAGAAACGGGCCTAGTGGGCCATCACAGACTCCAGGAGGGTGCCGACACTCAGTGGATTGATAGGTCATTCCAGGTCAGAGTGACAAGAAACAATACCCAGGACAAGGCAGGGTTGGGCAGCACACGCAGGCAAAAGGAGAAAAGAAAAGCAATTCCGTTGCTCAAGTAAATAGAGACTAATGGGGACAAGGAAGAGGGACATTTGTTCAGCTACTGAACTAGAGCTGATTCTGTTTATTTTTATCTTCACAAACAATTTTCAGTGGGGAAACTGAAATTCTGGGTAAGTAATTTGCCTGAAGTTACACAGCAATAGAGACAGAGATTAAAACAAACCTAAAAATGACAGATGAAACCTTGAAAATTCACATAATCGGTTTCAGCCTTGGGCTGCAGGTGTAGTTCAGTGGCAAAGAACTGGCCTAACATACATAAGGTTCTGGGTTTGATCCACAGTGTTCCCTTCCACCCCTACCCCCCAAGATAGAAATAAATTGCAAATTACAGTATTGGTCCTCAAGTGGTCTGCCATGCATTAACTTGTTTTGTTTCTACTCCTGCTTTTGACCGGCCTTTTAGTATATTGAACCATAAAGTTCCTTTTCTTGGTTTCATGTGGTCCTTATGATACTCCCAGGAGGTGGCCAAGTGAGATATTTGATTCCCATCTTACCGATAAGGATGATGAGATCCTGTGAGGTTAACTGACTTGCACAGGCAACTTAGCAGAAAGTGATAAGCCAAGAGGTGAGTCCTAGCATTAAAGACTGTTGATCAGAACACATTGACAGGAGACATCAGTATAAATTTGTGTTTAGTTTAATATATACACAGATTGTTCCGCATAAAATACTTACAGTTAGGTGTATGTGTGTGGTTAGAATACACACATATTTCTTTGCCTTGTCAGTTGTGAGAGTCAAGATCCAATGAGCACAATTAGGGGCCAGATATGTTTCCAGTACCATCCCCTAATAAAAGTAAACAAAGCTTTCTGAAGAAATGGCCAGTACTAGGACTGGCAAAGTAAATACAAGAACCAAGATAATACTGAAGTATCAAAAAGGAATGTAGAACAAAATTATGAAATTATATCAATCCCCAGGAGCCTCCCAGTGAACAGAATTCCCAATGCCTAAAGCAGGAATGAACTGAGCACAAAACACTATAAAACTCAATACAAAATAAAAGCTCAAAATAAAACAAGCAAGCAAACAAACAAAAAACCAAAAAAGACTTTTAAAGAAACAAGATATATAGTTCAGTGCAAAGAAGAGGGAAAAAGGGGCCTTGCTGAGAAAGGTCCTGCACTCAGAAGCAAGCCTGGTGGTGTACACAGAGGCTGTGGCTGAGAGGGGAACGTGCTGAGGAGTGGGAGCTAACAGGAAATATGTAGGCCTGGGCCAAAGCAGGCAGAGCTACTTTAAGGGGGTTTTAAAATCACACGGACTCATAAAAATGGGAAGGAGAGGTCAGAAGTCAGTCACCACAAGCAACTGGAAAAGGAGTGCAACTCAGTCAACCCAGATGAAGTTCAGGACTATGAACGACTTAGTACAAGGGAAAAGGGTATGTTGGGAGGCACTGTCAATGTAGGCTTGGCCCAAGAGGTAGTATTCAAAGAGCAGCTGTGGACTCTACCAGCCTGTGCCCATCCCTGTCCCCAGAACCACTACACAGACCCACATGAAAATAGGTACTGCCTGCAACCTGTGCTTGGGGATACTCCGTTCCGCACTGACACTGTCGATGAACTTGCTGCCTTCTGCTGGGCAGGAGCCACGGGGCCAGCGCGGGCCTTTGACTATAACTTCCTTGTTCTCCTCTCTGTTTCAGGTCATTGAGTGCATTACCCAAGGTCGTGTCTTGGAGAGGCCCCGAGTCTGCCCCAAAGAGGTGTACGATGTCATGCTGGGCTGCTGGCAGAGGGAACCACAGCAGCGGCTGAACATCAAGGAGATCTACAAAATCCTCCATGCTTTGGGGAAGGCCACCCCAATCTACCTGGACATTCTTGGCTAGTGGCGGCTGGTGGTCAAAAATTCATACTCTGTTGCCTCCTCTCTCCCTGCCTCACACCTCCCTTCACCACCTCACAACTCCTTTCTTCCTTCCTTGACTGAAGCGAACATCTTCATATAAACTCAAGTGCCTGCTACACATACAACACTGACAAAATGAAAAAAGAAAAAAAAAAAGGAAAGACAAAAACCTTGTAAGGCAGTTTGGCTATATACATATATATATATTTATATATCTATCTATCTATCATCTATCTATCTATATCTACAGAGAATACCTTCTCTAATACAGAGAGAAGCTGCTGATTTAGAAAACCGTAAGACTTTAAAGATTCAGAAAATCTTGAATATTATTAACGCATATGAACAATTCCCTTGACTTAAGCTGTGGACTGTGCTACTTCAGCTCTAGGATTTTCCTAGCAGATCTTGACCTTGAAGAGAGACAATCTTTGCTTTGGGATGGGAGGAGCTAGGGTGGCGCAAAATCACTGCTGCGCATGAGTGCTGCTACCAGGCGCCTTGGCAGGCTTGCTAGGCCTTGCTTGGCCTGGAAGTGGCATCAGAAGACCAGGGTCCTTGAGAATACCACCAGGCTACCCTGACCTTTGCCTCTGCACCCTTCTCCTTTGTCTCCACTTCCGGACAATTTTCTGATTTGTCTGTTCTACAGGTATAGCTTGATGCTTTTGAGAAGCATTGATGGCGCCTACCAGTAGACACTGAACAAGCAACACCACAAAACCCAGACAAGAGCAGACTGCATCCATCCTGAGTGGAAACCACACCCACGATCCTTGCTAGATTCATTGTTAGTCTATCCTCTGAGCTTGAAGAACTGCTTTCTGGACTAAAGAACCACAGAAGAATAAATAGCTGAAACCCGAACCCTGACAAGGCACTGCCACATGTCTTTCCTTCACTGGAAAGACTCCTTGGCCCCATGTTCCATTTTTAGGCCCTTCCGGAGCTTTGGGGTGGGTGGGAAATAGGTTCCCTCCTGTTGTCTGCTAAAGTAGACAAAGCAGGTTTTGGGAGCCGGATAGCAAAAGATTTAATTGGTCATTGGTCATTATTAGGTATGCTCTCTGGTCCTGTTTCTTACCTTCTTTCCCTATATCCTTGCCCTACCTCCTAGGCTACTACTAAGTCCTAAGTGAACCCCACTGCCAGGGAAGGAATCCAGGATTGGTGAGAGGATGAGGCAGTGTGGGCCTCTGGGAGGCAGGCAGTGGCCTAGGTGAGAGCCAGCGGGGAAGAAGCGACGTACTTGCTCCCTTCACCAGGCCCCTTGGCATTCTCCTCACGTTTCCAGCCCCTGGAAGGATTGATGCATCTGCCTATGAGCTTGTGAAAAGGCAGGGACTGAGAAATCGCCTTTGTGGGCTGGGCTGGGGGAGGGGCTGAGGCTTCTCTGGGAGATGTCCAATGAGTGGCCAGTGCCGAAGGCTTGGCATCTTAATGAGGACTGAGCGCTGACCAGGGAATGAGAATGAAACATCTGGGCTAGGGCCAGAGCCCTGTGCCGCAGCACCGGGGAATGTCTGCCTTCCTGCTGCTGCCAAGGACAGCAACAGAGCAGATCTCTGGCCACTCTGACACAAGACAAGGAAATGCACAGAGCCCCCCTGCTGGAGAGGAGAAGATGTACCCCTCTCAGGGCACCAGGCCCATCCACTTCAACCCAAGCACACAGCTACTAGTGAACTGACCTTTTCCTAACTGATTCCTCCTGGAAGCCTCTGATTTGCTCCCTTTCCTGCCAGCTAGAGAACTGTCTGCAGCCTGGGTATCCCGTTCAGCTGAAAGCAGCTAAAGTATGGGAATTCCTGTGTGAGTTAGGACTGAATTATGTGTTTGTGATTTTGCTTTTTGTACTTAGACCCCAGAATGTTTTTATTCTGATAGAGAAGAGCTACGCTCAGATTTTAGCCACAGTTGGGATTCAGGGGTGAGCAAGGCTACTCAGCTGGACAGGGAAGACAACTGGGTGAATGCGAGGTGGGGGTGGATCTTCTCACTGTGCTGTACACTTAGCCTTTGAGGACTTTGGGGGAAAGCTTAAGAATTGACCACCCCAAGAGAACCCTTTGTTATCCCACAGCAATTACTTCTCTTATTATTCTACTCTTTGCTTCACCTGAGGCCCTTGGTCTGTGTTGGGGTTGTGACTGCTGGATGGAAGGGCACAGTCTGGTTTTGATCTGGAAAGATGTTCAGGGAGGGAATGATTGGAGGGGGCCTGAGGTCCTTCAGTGCTGTCTTGCTGTCCTTCTCACATATCCTCTTTCAACATGCACCATGTGGCTTTGATCTTGACTATGTGTTTGGAGAACCTCATAGTCACTGATGGGCTGAGAAAAATGGGGAGAAGAAATGGATTGGAGTCTAGCAGACAACTGGGAGTGAAGAATGTGTGAGGGTTACAAGTCAGTGCACTGAGTCCTTACAGACAAATAAGAGAACATAATTCCTTGGGAAACAAGAAGCATTGAAGGAGACTGAGCTTGTCAGATTGCCCTTGTCTTAGTCCCACAGCCCTGTGCATTGCCACTGGGGTCATGTCTTGGCTATGTGCTAGATATACAGCCACCTATGGAAGAGTGCCCTTGAGAGAGTGGTAGAGTTGAAAGGTAGAGAGACAGGACCTATTTCTAACTACTTTCTTGCTGCTCTCTGTAGTGTATACATGTTAACCAAGGCAGGTATAAAAAAATGAAAAAAAATTTAGAGCATAAAGGAGGCAGAGAATAGGGCAATGGAAATTAAATAGTTATTTGATGGCCTGGGGTGTGTGGAGCATATTATTCCTCCTGTACTGAGACAGGACCAGTAAGACTTGCTTCACTGTCTTGGGTTCCCATCTATGATATAAGGGATGTCCTTGCTAATCTTTGGCCCTGTTCTGACTCTGAATTCTCACTCTTTTTTGTTTGAGACAGGGTCTTACTATGTAGTTCAGGCTGGCCTTGAACTCACTATGTAGCTCAGGCTGGCCTCGAACTTGAGGGGATCCTCTTGCCTCAGCCTCCTGAGTGCTGAGATTACAGGCATGTGCCACCACGCCTGGCTTGAATTCTTACATTCTAACAGCATCAAGATACTGTGTGATGTTTTCTCAGCATCACTCTGCAATGTCTGGCTAGCCTTCCTCAGGCCTTGCGTGAGTGAGGACAGTTGCCTCTGAGGGTGCACTAGGTTTGTGCTGGGATCAGTTCTGATAGGAAAGTCTTCTTCTCTTTTATACCCATGTCTTCACAAGTCACAGTCTGAAATGTTCAAGACTACTCTAGACCCACAGAAAGCATTTGTTTTCGTTCTCCATCCTAGTCTTTCTACGTACAAGAAAAGCACTAAGATTTATTTATTTATTTATGTATTTATTTTTAAAGAGCCTAATGTGTTTAAATGAGTCTTGAAATCATATCTGGTCAGCCAATGTGGCCGCTCCAGCGTATTCTACCCACTCCCCTTGCCGAAAATGTTTTACAATCTAAAAGAGCATGGATGGCAAATTTGGAATCTGACAGCTTTGTTTGAAGCAACCTCAATGTGACAAAGTGTGAACATTCCAGGGAACTGAGGGTGATGCCCTGGCCATGCTGTCCTCACTTGGTCCCATTCTAGACTGAACATAAGTGACCTGCTGTCAGATGTCCACCTTGGAGCAAGGTACCATGGCCAAGGGTCCTCCTTGTACTTTCTGGCTTTGAACATGACCCAAGTGCTGCCCTCTAATTTTATCCCTGAACTTTGATTGGACCTTGGAGGACACTAAGCCTCCCTTAGTCAACAGGACTTGATGCTTCCTCCACTCAGCAGGTATGCTCAAATTATGCTTGGACAGAGGCTTCCTATGACAGATAAAATGTCCTTTGATTTTCTGGGTTCAGGTTGAACATTGACATTCTTCTCTGGCAATGCTTACTTTGTGGAATACACTAGCACAAGTATTTCTGGTGCTAAATACTATAGAAACCAACAGAAACAGAGGAGCTGTCTGCCAGTTTCTGGGGCTGCATGAGACTCATCTCAGAAGTGAAAGAGTCAGCTATATTAGGAGAGTACAGGAAACATCAGAAAGATCACAATTCCTAGCTTTTCTCTTAGTTACCCAGGTAACTTTGGCTAAATCAATTAATCTCTCAAATTATCCAATTTTCTTTCTGAGACATTTAAGAGGTTAAACTGGATATCCTTGGGGCCATTTCAGCTTTTTTTTTTTTCCAAAAAGATATGTTCTGTCCCCTTCTGCTCTCCGCCCCCCTCCCCCCCAGGCTTACTTGTTAGAAATAAATTGAAAGGAAAGGAGGGATAGGATAAAAAAAGTTACCAATGGCAAGTAATTGATTATTGAAGGCAAGAAAAGAAAGTTCAGCGGCTTGTCTGTCTGTGGGATATACCAATCCACCAATGGGTGGAGGCAGCTAGGCAGAGAGGCCAGGGCCCCAAAATCTGTACTGTTCAAGAGAGATTACCTGCACCAGCATACCCTCTTGAACTAGTCATCATTTCCCAGTCAGCTCTGACATGCCCAAAGTCGGCAGAAATTATTCTGAAATATGGAACAGGGTTGCCCACCCCTCACTGGCATCTAGAACTCAGGGTTAATAACCAACAGATTTTTAAAAAATGCTAATTGTAAGGAACTAACATGTTGGAAAGGAGGGTTGTTTAAAGTTGCAGAGTCTTTACCCACTCTCTCACTCTGCACTTAGGAATGGACTATGGGTTTTTTGCTCTCCTTTCTGAACCAAAAAAGTAGTAGTATGATTTTGACTTCCAGGTGTAGTTATTACAATGAGCAGTCATGAGATTTGGGGTCTTCCCAATGCATTACTCAGAATCTAGAGCATAGACACATGGACAGATGCTTATTGAGTGAGCCCATATGCCAGCAATCCAGATTGCTGCCTTCCAGTGCTCCTGACATGTCTCCTGTCCACTTCAGTTGGAAGCCAGCCTCTAGAATGCCCAGTGGTATTTGCCTTAGAGCAAAAACTGGCACCTGAAGCCTAGGCCTTAAGTACTGTAGCCACTCATTATGTCTTTGTGTCTTTGAGCTCCACCTTCTTTCATACCAAATAAATCATTTCAGCCAATACTCAATAGGTTCTAAAGGCAAATTCTAAGTTTCTACACAATTAGTAAAATATTAATACAGGCTCTGGAAAATGTTTTGGGATGCCTTGAATGTCATTGCAAGTATCTTACTAGGAAAATACGGGCATATGTAAATTGTACGTGTATACGCATAAGCATATTTGGTTGGAATGGCTTCAGAGAAGGCCTTCTTGGAGTCAGCAAATTGATTCCAATTTGGGGTTCCCTTTGCACCTTACGTTTCCCGTGGATGAGACTGACTTCAGAGAGGTTTGGAATGGTTCTGATGGGAAATCTGTCATCTTGGGAAGTTTGATCATTTGGTGCTCCCTGGATTAAATTGTCTTGACAATAACATTCTGAGCACCAGAAGATCACTACTCCTGTTTGTTTAATACATCACCACACAGGAACTGTTTCCACTGCACCTTCCATTGGGGTGATATAGAAGTCACTCACTGCAGACGTATCCATCCCCAGGAGGGATGGAAGAGATGGAATGTGCTATGTTGATGCTTGATCACTCTTTCTGAAAGGCATTACTGACTTGATTCTATGTGCTGAATATTTGTCACTGCATTGGGTGTTAGGACTTTTGCTCTTGGCGTGGGCTGCTCTACCCGAAGGGGTCTAAATCTTGGCTTCTTACAGGGTTTCTGTTTGCCTGGTGCATTCTCTCCAAACAGTTTTTTTTGGCTGCCTATAAAATATTTATACTTTGAAACAAGAAATGCCTCTGGCCCAAGTTTCAATGTGCCATCATAGATACTCTTAGTGAGATCTGTGGAGGGTGAAGTTCCTTGAGTGGAATTAACAGGAATTCTAGACCAAAGTAATGAAGTTCATATTTCTCTTCCTTTTTAGCAAACTACTAAGTTCCAAGTTTAAAGTAAGGCCTGGTTTGATATTTGCAGTGGGGAACAATGTCTTAAATCAACAAAGTGAGCTCTGTCTCTCAAAAGAAAATAGTAAGTTCTGTGAATTGTCCCTAATCACACAGGAATATATTGCTTTGTGTGCAGTGCCATGGTCCAAGCTTTCAAGAGGTACTTTTAGCAGACAAAGTGATAAGTTCCTTATAGATATAGCAAGACAACATAGGCAAGGAAAATCCTCTTCAATATTTATTTCTAAGAAGCACTCAGGCTCTAAAGTTTTGCTTTTTGATTTTAGTATATTATGAGATTTGGTTTCTTCACACCTTAGCAGATCAGAAATTTAGACATCTTTTTTGCAAGGCTACAGCTAGACACGGAACCCAGATGTCTAGTGTATACTCTGACATCCTTTTCAATGTAACATTCCCCAAACTCACTGAGAAATATAAACTTTCCAGTCAGTCTTTTTTTTTTTACTTCAAAAGAGTTTGTGGGGGTTACATTTTAAAAACTCCGAACTTCGTAATATATTAAATGATAGGGCACATTCAGTTACTCAGTATCCACTCCTCACCCCAAGATCTGTCTATGTTCTGTCTCTGTTTAAAAACTACCTGACATTTACCTCATGCCTCTGAACCTGCCTCTGGGGTAGATAAACAAACCTGGTCCAGGTGATTTGATTTCTGCTGTCTATAGCAGAGAAGTTTTTATTTCTTTTTCATTTCCCTTTTTCTTTTGGTTCTTATCTTCCTGCTTCCATAGGACAGACAATCCAGATTCTCAAACTCCATGCTAGTCTTAATAGGAGGTGAATCCCATGACCACAAACAGTTTGGACTTCAAACAGTGAGAAAATTGGCGCTGAATGATTCGACACACAAAGCAGAAAACTTTCATTTCCTGCAGGCAGGATGGAATTGACTGTTATATTAAGACTTCTGAAGGAGCCCTGCCCAGGAGTAATTTCAGTGCTGTCAGACAATGTTGACATCTAGATTAACCTCTGTGCAGTGAATTTTACTGCAAAGCTCATTGAGATGCATGTGGCGTGTCTCTGTAAATTCCGTCTGGAACCCTTGATGGCCCGCTCTCCACAACCTGCCTCTCTTCCCCACCTGCTCTTCTCATAGTCCATGAACGTTTAGCCTCCAGGAGTAGAGGAGCCATGGCTGGGGTATCACCCTAAGAAAGGGAGCTTTGGCCTTTCTCTGCCCACAGTGTTGAGCCAGGCAGAGTGACAGTGGTTGTCATCCTACTGAGTTTCCCTAAGGGGGCTGCAAATCAAGGTATGGAAGCCATGAGGCTGATGACAAGGAGTTTTGTAGCATATCATGATGCCACACAAAGGGATGAAATGGTTTGTGGAAAATTAGTGTCCTGAATCAGTTAGTCCTGCTCAGGAGCCCCTACTCTTTCCGAGCTTCAAAGTCCAGATGCAACAAGGTCACGACTGCAGCCAGGTGTGGTGGGTGAATTCTGATGGATGAAAGTGTGTGCTCTGCACAGGTGTTTCCCTAGGCCCTGCGATGGAGCTGTCCTCAGAGCACTAGTTTGTCAACTCTCTTTAAGGCGCAGTGAGCTCTGGAACAGACTGAGCCCTGTCTCACTCACTGCGTGATGCCACAGTGAGATGCAGCAGCCCCATGAACCTTAAAGCTAAGATCACAACTTCTCTACAAACTTGGGCCATTACTGACATTGAAAGTTTTGAGAAAAGGCTTTCAGCTTAGCTTCACCTCCTTTCAGGCTCTGGCTCTGTGGAAATGTTCAAGATGATCACAGGCCTTTGTAGAAACTTCCCTCAAGATGTTAGAATACTGTACCCCAACCCTACAATTTTTATGATTCTGAATCTCTGTTCTTGACTGTGTGTGTCTATGTGTGTGTGTGCTACTGGACTTTGAGCCCAGAGCCTTCCACTGAGCTACATCCCATCCCTTTTGTATATTTTGAGACAGGATTTCACTAATTTCCTAAATTACCTAGTCTGGGTTTAAACTTGCCATCCCCCTGCCTCAGCCTCCCAGAGTGCTGGGATTTTGATCTCTTTAAAACTGTTTTTGTCTACTTTGTCTCTTGTCTTTAATATGAGTAGTAAGAATCTCCTTGTATGTTCTTAGATATTTCTTTAGGAGAATTGAAAGTTTCCAGCCAAGGACATTGTGTTTGGCTTATTGATAGGGGAAATAGATTTCTGGGCTGAGTAATGTTGCAGTCATACAAAGGCACTCTGTTGACTTTGTTTAAAAGCAATTATCAGAACTGTGTTTTATTCTAGATGCTTGAGCTCATGTAGTTCAAACTCCACTCATCATTTTATTATTTATGTCACGATGCTTGGTTATATGCACACTCATGTGCACACAAATGCCTCAGTAATTTTGTCTGTGTACAAACCATGATGTTCCAGTTGGCTTGCTTCCATTGACCACTGTGTGCATATTGTGTGTGCAAATAAGTGTGAATCACATATTTGCTTTCTGAAACTTTGATACATGTCTACTTTTATCATCAACACACAGCCCTTGGCTTTTACACTTTGGATTGTTTGCAAAGTAGGTGGGGTTTTTTTGAGCAGGAAAATTCTGATTTTCTCAAAATCTTCATATTTAAAGGCAGGATTACTTTGCTTTGTAGAAACAAAAACTAAACTAGCGTTTGATTCAATTTTTATTTAATTTTGTGGGGCAAAAGACATTAAAAAAAAGACATAGTGCTTGTGTAATAAATATTAAGTGTGTATAAATATAAATGTGAACTAATGTAAGCAAGTTATTGATTCTATCTTTGGGCTGAAATAGTCAGGTGTAAAACTCAAACATTCCAAAAGGATTGCACCGTGAAGTGAAAGGGCTAGCACAGGGTGAAGGAAGAGAGCTGAGCTAGAAGCCAGCAGGCTGCATGGGGTGTTCCTTGGCTGGGTAACTGCATAAGTCACCTCAATTCTCTGAGCCAATGTAGGACTGATTTTGTTTGAAGTGGGCAGCTGGCAGCTGGTCACAGGCTTGCTCCCCTTCTGTGATTGCAGCGATGGGGAAAGCCAAATATATTTCTTGTTCACTGCTCAGATCAGTTACCAATGAAGTACCAAGGTTTCCATTAAAGCAAGTCTGCAAACATCCACACTCTGGTCATTTTCATCTTCAATATATCTCTTTTAGCTCTCTTTTGAAGGCTTTCCAAACTGAATACTTTCTGTCTGTCTCACCCCTGAAAGGCCAAGTCCTATCTCTGAGAAGCCAGAGAAAGCTCTAGTTGTTCATCTTCCTCTACCCTAGTCTGAACATCAGCCATGCTTGGGATTTAGCCTTAGATTTCAGCTGAAGGAAACAAGTATGTTCTCCCACCCATCAGTCTCTTTCCAGCTCTGTGGACCAAGTGATTAGCTCCTCATTAGCACTTCATCAGAGGCTTTTTTTTTGCACAAGAGACTCTGGACCCACAAGACTATTACAATGCCTCATTCTGTCTATTTGAAGTCATCTCATCCTTCTGGTTAGGAAAGGGGAGGCTTTTCTACAAATATGTTTTTCATCTAATTGCTCTTTCTTGTTTTCTGACTGTTAAATATATTGGTAAATATTAAACATGGTTTTCATTTCTATCTAGATCCCTACGATCGTGGGCGTACTACATCATTATCGACTAAGAGCTTCAGTCAAGTATTTTTCTATTTCATGGAGTGACTATCATACTGGCATGCATATTTGAAGGAGTGTTCATATCTTGGTTGTGGGATACAACCCGAGATTGTTTTCTATTGAATTAAATCTTTATTGTGATAGCATCAGAAAGGTTTATACTATAAGAACAGAATTGACCCTAACATGCTAGGAAAGCCTGAGGTAGAAGAACTCACCCAAGAGGTAGGAGATTAGGCTTTCCGTTCTCAAAATCATTTTGTATCAATAGATGCTTCAGCCCTTTCCCTTCAGTCCCTCTGAAAAATACTAATATCCACATTTGCTATTCAAAACAAATTACTCATGTCTGACCCAAACCCTGATTTTAAAAAGTCATTAAAAAACAACCCTCTAGGGATAGTTTAATATTGGTTCTTTTCCTGATCCCTACTAATATTTTCAATGAGATTTTAATTTTTTTTCACTTTTATTGCTTTAGAAAAGACTTAGGGATCTATTTTAAATACTATCCTTGATGAAATAGCAAGATGGATTGAAAATGGTGAGTGGAGATAATAGGGCTAGGAGACAGAGTCTTGCTGAGCGACCTTGGAAAAAGCATTATGATCTTTTTGCCTCTCTTTCTTAATCTACAAAACAAACCAACAAACCAACAAAAACAAAGTCCACTGCTAACAACTCTCTGCCTGCCACAGAGGGTTGTTATGTCATCCTGTTGGATGAGCCCACAGTGGTTGAAGTGTTTGTGGGCTGTTCAGTCCCCCAAGTATGTAGAACCCACTCTTTGGGAGGGATGTTGCACACAGTCTTGTTGGGTGGGGAGCTCAGAGCTGCTGCTTTTAAATTGCACTATGTTTGGAGGAGCACTTTCTTTTAATTCATCCTGAAGTCTGGTTCCTAAATGTTTTGTCATTAGTGTTTTCTCCTTCGACTTACCATCGAGCATGTAGTAATGGAAAATGCCTTAGAAAACACAAGCAAACAGGGCTGTTTTACCCATTTGGCACTGTCATTGAAAAGGAACTGCTAGTAGATTTTACTTTCAGGCTTAGAACCCTGAAATTTTTTTAGGGAATTGGCATATCTTGCTGCATGTCATTTCTTACCACTCACTATTGCTTTTATGAGTTTTTGTAGGTGTGAAATAAGAATGTTCAAAGCTTCCTCAATAAATTGGGTGGTGGAGCTAATTTTGCAGGGAGAACTGAAGTAATAACAATCTAGAAGCATTCTAGGGCCAATGATCTCAACATGGGGAAATAACTGTAAGGTAGAAAGAAGTGATCTAGCAAAGACCAAACACTAGACAACACTTTTAATAGCCCCAAGGACAACTAAAAAGGTGTGAGTGGAAATCCCACTGAGGAACTGGTTTTGCTGAAAATGAAGCCCTTGACAATAAATCCTGAGACCAGATAACCAAGGCGACAGCAGTGATGTCATTTAAGCCCTAAAAAAAATCTCAGGAGTTTATGATGCCAGCCACTATTTTAAATAGCTTGCAGTGGTGACTACTTGGCAAGATAAATCTTTCAAATGTTATTTCCTTTCAATTCCCAAGTAATCATCAGGTGTGATATATTTGATGAGATGCTGTGCATTTATTAAAAGGATTTTGACCACTGCAAATCAGAATAAAGGTGAGTATCGAAAATGCTGGGAAATTAAAAAATGCTTAACTAAAATTCAGAATATCTCAGCTTCTCTTTTCTCTTTTTACCTTGTGCTCAATCTTGTTCTTATATGGGAAAGTAACACCTCTGTTTTAGACCTCGGTCTGGGTAAGTTTTCTCTTACAGTTGTCCAGCAGGCAGAAAGCATCCGTTTTCTTTGAAATGAGAATCCAAATTGGGTTATTTTTTTTCAAGTTATGGTGTAAAACTGGAGAAGGCAAGCTGGTTCAGGGTGATGTTTTGTAATTTATTTGGATAATTTTGAGGAGATGAGCCCCTTCATAGCACTGGAAAAGTGTGCCTCCACCAAGTTGTCTCACTGTAGAACTTCCTAGAGACACAACTTAGTAGTTGAATATCGCAGAACAATCATTTGAGAAGTAACTCACTAAATATGGAAAAATTGAAATTCTATGTTGCAGGAACAGCTAGAATCTATCTTAGTGTTTGATTTCTTTCCCCTGTCTGAAAGTTTAGCCTTTTGTGAGGCCACTGGGATATTTTCATTCCATGGCTAGAAAAGATTATTTACAGTTCAGGTCTAAAAGCAAGGGCTCCCCTAACCCATCAAAATTGAAGACAACTCTATATGACTTCTGTTATTTTTCTGATACCCCACAGCATCAAGGACCTTTTTTGATTATGTGTATAGACCACAGCGGGTTAGCTTGAGGGAATTGTCAAGTTAAAATGAAAGAAAAGCAAGTTGGGGCAAGAAAACTCTCACATTGAATGTGAGAGAAAACAGTAGTGCTGTTCTGTTGAGCAAAGAGGTGTACTGTTCTGGGAGGAATCACGTCCTTCAAGATTGTTTTAGTTGTTGAGATTGTGTGTGTGTGTGTGTGAGTGTGTGTATGTGTGTGGCTGAGGGTGTGGAAGCAGATAGGAAACACTTGTTTATGAGTTTAGATTGTCTCTTGATAACAGTACAAACTCTGCTCAGTTTCTAGAAATGTGGCAGTAAAATTAGAGCACCAGAGGAACCCAGAGTCCTATGTTTCTGTACAAAGTAAAGTTTTATCCAAATATTTCCTTTAGAAACATTCAGTCATAGCAAGCCAAATTAATCTGCCACCTGCAATTAGTATCACACACAAAAAAAGTCAGTAGGCAGCATCTGCAGACCCCCTCTGCATGTATTATAGGCTTCTATTCTAATGGCACAGGGTCATTGGTTCATATTAGGGGATAACCCTGTAGGGCCTGAATGGGGAGTAGGTTGAAGTGCACTACCCTGCCAGTATTTTGGCAATGCATTCTGTCCCACAGAAAAACTAGTGTAGTTTTGGGGCTATTTTTGTTTGAAATGGTATGAAAAAAGAGAGTTTTTGAAAAAGATTTAAGGACTGTCTCCTAAGGCCAGCCTCCGCTAAAAGACTTTTCAGTTTGATAGGCGGAGCTTCTAGCTGTGCCTATCCCAGAGTGCAAATTCTGCAATGACTTCTGGGTGTCTGTTTTTCAGAACCAGGGACAGCACCCTTCCCCTAGGACCTGCTATCCTGATTGCATTTCTAGACAGGGAAGAACAGGTTTTTCCTTTACTTCCTATCCACTGAGCCTCAACTTGTAAGAAGTTTTAAGATTAGGTGCTTGCATCTTTTATTCATTACCAAACCTACAACAGCTTTTTGCTCCCCCAGCCCGAGTTAGCTGTTTCTGTTATTTTCTTGACCACTAACAAATAGTAGGGTTTGGACCTACTCAGGTCTCCTGGCTCAGAGAGCTGGAAAGATGCTCAGATAATAGGCACACTTTGGAACAGGTACTCCCTGAAAAAATCTATATAAGACACACTTGGCTTGTAAATTCCTTATAGGAGATCACTTTCTGTTTTAAAATTTCTGCATATTCCCCACAATGTACAAGTCTCTGATGTAGTGGGCATATGGAGTGAGCCAATATTCACAGTGGTTGAATCAATGAACTTGGAAGATACATAAGGTCCCAGCTATGTTGTTATTAGGCATTTTGTAGACTCAAGGAGGGACCTTGCTTTGCCTCTCAACATCCACCATTTTTTCTGTTGGTCAGCAGCTGTTTTTGCCTTCAACAATTACAGAATAAAAATAGTTCCTCAGAAAATAAGTCTCCAGGCCAGAGTAATGGAGTACACTGAGACAAGGAGAGTAGCAGAAGTACATGCTGTCAACTTTGCTTTGTGATTGGCCAGTTTTCATATAGCAGAATAATACATAGACATCCTATGGCAGCACTGTCTTTTCTTGACTAGTTGGCAGCAAGCATCCTTTCAATTCATGTCAGGATGGGTCCTATGGTGAGAAGGCGAGACAGCCACTGCAGATTTCATCTTAAATACTGTCTCCTACTTCACAGATATTAGATAGGTTCCACTTTCTCTGCCTCTAGGCTACCCAAGACTCAATGCTCCACAATATCCTTTCTCTCACTTCCTCTTCCCCTTCACTGCTAATTATCATAATTTTTAACAGATAGTAGAGGAGGAACATAAGGATTTCTTTTAAGGATAGATTAAGGGAAATGAACCCATTCCAATACTTCCACTTGCCATGCAGGAAGGGCCATGGCATGAGTCTCACTGGGGTGAATAAGGTTAAAGTTTCTCTGCTGGATCCTTTAGAATATGAAAGCTTTGATTTATATTTAAATCATGGAACAATCCTAATTTAGAAAGGACATAGACAGAAAAGACCAGCAGAAATAAGAAGATTTTATTTTCTGTAGAACAGAGAAGAAGGAGTTGAAAATCACTGTTACTGGAACAAATGATCTACTGGCCACTGGGAAGGTAGTATGAGGCAGGAAAAGCTGAGCAAGCATTTTTAGATGTACAGGTGATGCCAATAGAAGCCTCAGGAGGGAATATGCCAGAGGATCAAACCCTATAAAGGTTGTCAGTACTTTTTCTGGAAAATTCCTAAAATCTTCAAGGGTATTTCTAGCCCTCTTTTCAGAGGTAAGCTCAGTGCTACTTCTGGGTTCTTAAGGCAAATGCCCAACAAACACCAAAGTCTTGTATTTTCCACTCTCAGCCAGCACTGGCTGTCTTAAGTGGGATTTTTTTCCCTTTCCTAAGTGTAAGGGACTTGTTTTCAGGAGAAGTGTCCTTTAAATATTCAGCTAAAACTGGAGGTAATTTTTTGCATGAATGGCTTTTTACAGCTAGGTCTAAAGCAGAACAAAACTTGTATTAAACTAAGTGCTACTTTACATATCTTATTTCAAGGGAAATGAAGGATTTATTGCCGTGTAAATGATATACACTTATTTGTTTCCTACTGGACATTACATGTCCCTTTATCTTTAGGCTGATGTTGTGCAGCAAACTTTCAATATCTGGAAAATCAGCTGGTACCTACTTCAGTGCATTAGTAGGATATTATGTTCTCAGATAGGAATTTTGCAAATGAAGTTTGGGTGCTGTTGTAACTGATTTTCATCCCCTATCCCTAAGCTTTCTCTACTAAATATCTGTAAAGTGATTCTGTCTTGTCTGATACCATGTGTTTACGTATTTCCCAGTGTCTGTATAAATATATTGGCTATCTGACAGGTTAGCTGGATTATGGCAACTGCTGAACAATGGTGCATTTGGCATATGGGCCACATGCTCTATGTGTACACTTGTTCTAGGGCCAATCTAATCTCCTTGCAGAGTTTAAGAAAAATAACACAGTGTGGCATTAAAAATGGATATTGTTAAAACTGAACAATGGATATTGCATTGCCAAGTCATCATTAATTAGTGAAGACTTTGACAGAAGCAGAGTTGAAACATGTTTAAGTAGATCTTATGTCATTTATTTAAGCTCAAATGATTATTTCTGTGTTCTAGTCTATACAAAAATATTTCTTCATGATACTTGTTTGATTTTCCCCCAGGTCACTGCAAAGTGTTTATCGTGATTTTTTGCCCATGATTTGGATCCTAAAGTTGTTAATATAGGTGACTGGTTTTAGTAAAACTTGGTTTAACTAATAGTTTCTTTTCCTTGATGTATCTTTTCATTCTTTCTGTTATTTTAAGAAAAATTAATCCATTGGCTATGCTAACTTCATTTGCATCATGACAAGTCTTAGAGAATCAGTCTAGTGAGAGGGCATAAGTAAAACTTTTAAGAAAAGGTGTCCTTATGCAAGAAAAAAAAAGAAAAGGAAAGAAAGAGATAAAAAGAAAAAAATTGTAACTTAGTAAGGCTCCAGGGTGGAGGGGGTGTGTTCCCAGTTGATATTAGGATGCATTGAAAAGGCAAGTGCTATCCTTTCTCTACTCCCCATCCCACCCTTCCTCCTCAACCTCAAAAGAAAACAGAAAATTATTTTTTTAAACTGTATTAATAATTTATGTTTAATACAAAAGGATGATTTAATGGTGTCACCAAAGGTCATTTTTCTCATTGTGCATGCCCTCCACTCTCGACCCCACACCATCTGGCCATTCTTCACCCTCACACTTCCATCCCAGGGCAAACATGTGTCTCCATCAGAATCTATGGGTGTTGAAGTTCAATGTGGGGGCAGAGATTTAACACCATGACACTAATGAAAACCAACCATTCTTCACTTTCAAATGGTTAATTACTGCAAGAAGGCAAACTCTTTTCTTGGTTTTTGTTTAGAGACATTTTATACATATATATGTATATATGTGTGTGTATGTATGGACATATGTATGTATATGCACATGTACATGTATATATGTATATATTCATCTCCAATATAAATATAATCATATGTGAGAATTATAAATATGCCTTGGTCATGTGTCTGTCTTTCTCATAGTATCATATTGTTACTGTTATGTTAACTACTCCATTTATTGATTGATGAAATTGTGTGTAGATCTGTATCCTCCTGACATAGTTTATGTAGGGTCTGTTCTCAAATAAAGTATAAAACAACAATGTCCTTGGTTTATTTGGATTTATTGCATGATAGGGAAATGTGTCACATTTAAAGGTGGATTGAAATTGGGCAGTTCCAAAAGTGTGGAAAGATCATGGGATCTAATGTCATCTTGAGCACTGGGACTCTGCTTTACTGAGGGTAAAAGAAGCTTGTGTGATTTTTAAAGATAGTCCATAAGTTGAATACTGGGCTGTGATGAGTGTTTCAAAAAATACTTACATATATTATTTGGGGCAGGGTCCAGGAAATGAATGGAATTCCTCCAGCTCTAGGTCATGAAGATGCCCTGTTTTCACATATATATTGTATTCAGCCTCCCAGTTAACAATCATTTAAGACAGTTCACAGGATAGGACAAGATATGTTCCAGATATCCTTTTACTCCAAAGATTTTACGACTCCTTAGCATACTTACTTTAAAGCTCATTCCCTCTCTTCTTTTGAATTTCCCTCCCTTTCTCTATGTTATTCTTTCTTCTTTACTTCAAACAATGTGCTTCCTTTAATAATATTAAAGGCTTATTTTCCTTAATTTCTTTTAAAAAATATTGATAGGATTGGGGGAAGAGTGAAGGGGAGAGGCAGGGAAGGCAAGAAAATAATTCCACTCCCAAGAGTTTAACAGAGAAGCAGAAAGTTGGCAGATGGGGTTTCTCCATAATGGCGCTGTGCACATTTTGGATGAGATAATTCATTTTGGGGTGCAATTGTCCTCTACATCATACAATATTTTAATAAATGTATTTTTCTTACCTGCATCAGCAGTTTTCCCCTTTCCCAGATTGTTATGATCAAACATATCTCTAAACATTGCCAAATCCTCACTGGGTTTCTGGGGAGCCGTTTTCATGGCTTACTACATAGTATCACACAGTATTAAAAGAGATCAAAGAACTATAAGAACCCTGTCATTCTCTACCTCTTTTTTAGACCAGCTTCTTGGTTGTACTTCATGGTAAATTTGCTACTTTTCTTTAAGCACATCTCCCTTCAAAGATCACTCCTGAAAATCAAGTTGAAGCACCACATTTCACTTTCTGATAGCAACAGAAATACCTTCCTCATCTCCATATATCAAATTGTCTTCATCCCTAGACATCTGTCTGCACCACTTTTGAAAGCTGTATGATTACTATACATATCATAATGTACTAAACATATATACATAATATTTGTATACTAATCATACTAATCATAATATACATAAGCTGTGTATTAGTATAGGTTAATTCCTTCTGATCTGAGTGGGAAAAACCCAAATACCATTTTCAAATGTTATGTACCTGTGAAAGATACTGGCATACCTGAGGAATAGAAATTTTTGTATTTCAGTTGTCCCATCATGCTTTTCAACTAGTTCTTGTCACATATTCATATAAATCACAAGGCACAAATAGAACCCTTATTAGCCTAGGACATAAGTCATCAGGACACAACTCCTTTTGATGGGCAAGAAGAACTTGGGCAAGATTGTCCAGGCAAAAGATATTTCTCTGAATAGTGATAAGTCCACAGGGCACATTTAGTGGACACTTGTGGAGTTGCCCACCAGATTACTCATTCTCCAATGCTTGGGTTATTCATACACCAAAGTGCTGCCATTTAGTTGTCCCTTGATCCCCACACCTAGAAACACTCAGCTCCAAAGAAGAACATCTCTTCTCTCCAGCATGTGGCTACTTTTGCAAGAGTGGCTTCTTGTGACAGCACCTAGAACAGAACTGGGCTACTTGAAGGCGAAAAGCAGGTGTTTCTCAAGGTAGGAATTTGAATGCCCTCTGCAGGCATGAAAAGACTTGACCTTTCCATAATTAGTATAGTGATGGCACATGACAAAAGTGCCATGAGAAGCCAAATACCTGGTACTCTCGACTCAGTCTTCCCTCAGGAATCCTTCCTGCTCCACACAAAGGCCGAGGACAATATGAGGGCTTGCATGGTCACTTTTGGATGCCATCATGCCCTCAGGACTCACTATTTATCATTTAGTTTGAAATCACAATCCAAGGACTAAGAACTAAGTCTGGGAGGTCCTTGATTGATAATTTTATTTAATGCTTGCCTGTAGTCATGTTTCCCAAGTAAATAAAAACAGAGGTAACCTTTCAAATGGAAGTGAATTCCAATGCTGGAAGCTATGGTTGATAAAATTATCTTATTATGACAACATGGTCTCAAAACGTCAGATTCCTCTGGTACCACAAAGAAACAGTGATAATGGAGATAATTTAGAAATAACAATTGCCCATTCCTAAGACTAAACATGGGGGCTATGAGAGTGCCAGAAAGGCACTCATAAAATCATGAGACACAGAATGGAGTCCCAAGTCAATCTGAAAGTTGATGTCCAGCATGGGAGTCATTCTTGGCATGGATCTTGAACAGGTACAGGAGTGAGTTCCCAGAAATACCCCTTAGTCCTCTTAGGACATGTTCCTTTAGTATAAAAAAGCCTAGGGGAGCCCTTTTCCCTAGGCCATGTTCTGTTTTTTGTTCTTGTTGATATACTCAAGGTTACTAGGTTATTTCACAGGGAGAAGTTCTATTTTAACTTCCCTCACCCCTAGTGTTCTGAATTATTCAAATCACCAGTGGAACGCACAGCAGAGGGTCTAATTATTGCCCTGCTTGCTACTTACTGTTGAGCTGCAAGAGCCAGGGAATGACTTTAAAGGAGTTAAGTGGGGGAGAGGCAGCATCTTTACGAAGCTATACAGAAGTCTCAGTCTTACTAGGGAAGGCTGAATAGCCATGGAGAGTTGGTAACATAGGGCCATCTTTTGACTGCATGTTCTTGCCATGTCACAGGTCTCAGGAGAAAGCATAGCCCTTAGACTAGCTCAGTTAGTCTCTATGATGGTCTTAGCCATAGCCCTTTGCTCCTCAGAATTTTGAGAACTTTCACACTCCCCTTTCATTCAAGCTCAAGTAGTCTTACCTGATAAACACTAAGTTATAAAGGAAGAGGCTACAGAAGGGGGAAGGTGTCAGCACACGATAATCAGTATCCCTACTTAAGTCCAACATTGTTGTTTGCCAAGCTTTCTGCTACCTACTGTATGTGTATGAGTTAAATTCTTTTAATGTAGTCAGTTACTAATAATACTGCCATTGTATGAATGTGCTAATTAATCATGACTCAGAGGTTTAGTTGCCTGCTTGGTTAATTGAGATAGAGCAATGATTTGAACCCAACAGTTGAATTTAATATATGTGGTCTTAATCATTACTTTCTACCTCCTACTATAGACCACAATGGAAGTTTTAGCCTTAAAAAGTATTTTCATTCATCTTAAACTGCATTCCTTAAGGCAATTCAGAAGATGTCTGTATTTTAGGGTATTCATTCATTCACTCATGTAATCAATTAAGGAGCACTGTTAGGATGGATGTAAAACAATGTGCTAGAGCTTGGAGACGTAAAGTGTTTTAAGAGTGCTCCTCTCCATCCCATCCCTTCCCTGTACCATGTTTTGGGTCTCTTGGTGAACAAAAGATTATGTTGAAGGAGAAAAAGCAAGAGAGAATTTCTGTTCATAATAGAGAAGAGGAGAACAGTTGTTTGGCTTCCCCTAAACAGAGCCAAGTTCTCATTTACTGGGCCTTGGGCTACTTATAATAAGTGCTAAGGTATTGAGATTCACCTTATCAGAATTCCCTTGGAACCTTGGCTCTTTCCTGAATTTCTCCAAATGGGAGGCCAGAACACTCCCCCTAAGCCCTTCTGCACACATTGACCTAGAGAGACAAAGGTGATGTCTCAGTGCTGGCCTGACACCTGTAGGTCACTGCTGACCCTGCTCATTCAGCATCTCCATGAGATACAAGGAGCCCCTGTCTTCAGAGATATAATGGAAAGTTCCAATGGCAGAGTTATGCACAATGGGGCTGTTCATAAATATGATTTATGGAGTTAGTTCATTTACTGCCTCTGGTGCTGGACCCAGCTGCCAGGAGTTTGACAATTTCTGTTTATTTATTTCTCACTATATAATACCTGACTTCACATTATAAATTCTTCTGATTGGAATTTCATGGCATCTGGTCTGGTATTTATTGATGGCATGCTCATCAGGGACTCTGTCCTATTTGGGATGAGCTGAGGTCTGAGGCCTTGGTTGTACCTGTGAGGGTAAAGAGAGGGCCCTGATATCCCCATATTCAGAAGACTTTAATGATTTATTTTGGGCTTCATATTTACATGTCAGAAATGCAGTCACCTATGATAGATATTGTTTATGACTCTAAACTATTGGAAATAAGAGGTAAAGTCTAACTCAGAGCCAAAATGGTATTTGGCCATGTAAAAGGGGTCTGGAAGGGCAGGGAATGGCATGCCCATCCTTCCTGGATGATGACTACTGTGTCATTATCCTTCTTCCTTTTCTAGTCCACACGTGAACCAAATGACCACTTGTATTCAACCACTGAGTTGGCCTTAGGCTCATGCAGAGAGAGGAGAGTTGGAATCACTAAGCTTTAGGTGATGCTATCACCATGTGTAAATTTCCATCATGGGAGAATAATAAGAGGAGTAAGAGTGAGAATGTTATTCTAAAACGCCCAAAAGTGCTTTATGCTACACCAGGAGAAGCCAAGGGTTGGCCAAAAGATATCAAGAGAGTTATGATAATGTTTATTCTTGCTCTACAAATATAGAATCTTGCATCCAAAAATGATATGTCAGAAGATCTTTCTGAGAGCAATGGCGATTGTGTTTGGGTTCATAGCTGAGTATTTCTCACAGAAATTTTACATTTTTCTAGAGGTAATTTCACTTTCCATGATGGTGTTTGTGTTTTCTTTTTCCCAGTACTGTTAACAACTGTTAAGACTCCTCTCAGTTTCAATCTCGGTCAACTTGCTCTGTCCAACCTCTTGCAGTACAGGTACTGCAAAGCCGATAAGGTCAGACTCTGAACTTTCCATGCTCTCAACCCTCATCTGGGTTACTGAAAAGGAAACCAACATTTACTAAGCACATTCTGTGCACCAGGCAGGCACCCCAATAAACCCTCATGGAGTCATGGTAGCCACCATCCTGTGAGTTATGGCTCTTTCCTTTTCTACATGAGAAAGTTTAGACTTGGAGAGGAGGTCTCATTACTTTCCTTTCCAAAGGACAAAAACAAGTATGAGACAAGGACAGAGAATTCAAGCCCATGTCAGTCTAACTCCAAAGCAAATTTTGTTTCTCCTTAGCAAACCCTCTGAGGAGTGATTAAAGGCAAACATTTCTTCAGCACCACTTTGTTCCCCAAACAACTAGGAAAGAAAATAGCTGTTATTCTTTCATTGTCTTCCTTGGGACATTGGACAAGTGATTTGATTTCTCTGAATCTCATTTTTCCCACATGCAAAAGGCACACAGTTATATCCATTATTGATACTGCATGGGGTCATGTGAATGCATTGCTGAAGTGTTTTGTGCAGGGTCTTGCAATTCATAAGCCTGGATAAATGGTAGGAATAATTTACCATCACCACCACTATCATCATCACTGACAATATTGTTCTCCTCCTCCTCCTTCGTCATCATCTTTTTATCATTGTCATCTTCCTCAACTCCTTGAGAGTAGTTTCCATGGCCCACTCCTCTTACTAACAATACAACGCCTCCTGGTTAGGCTTGAATACCCTGTGGGAGGCTTTCTCTGTGAGGAGGTGGGCTAGCGGGCCATAGACAGCACTGCCATTGTTTTACTCATTTGTGACTCACAAGGCCAAGCCCTTTTGAGATTCATTAAATCAAACAATAAAAGAAAATCCCGTTTCCATATGATCCCAAGCATTGACCAAATTTAATCCATCTCTCCCCCGTTTTTCCCAGTGTGGTCACAGATGTTTGTTGCTGACTGTCGCACAAGAAGAAGGTCACTGGCAGTCACTAATAGACCCAGGAATAATAACAGCTCCCAGAGCTTCAAAACCAGAATATATTTTATAAAAGTAAAACTTAATCTGAGTGTTATAAAGAGACAGAGAAAGATGGAAGATACCATTTTAGGTTCATCTGCTGGTTGCTTAGATGAACTCTATTACTCTCCCTTTACAAATGAGAATATTGAGTCTGATTGAGATTAATTAATTTGCCTAATGCCATCCAGCTAGTAAATGGCAGAGGTGAAATATGAATGTAGGTCCATGATATTTTCATAATGGTTTTCAGCTTTTAGAAACTCATAAGGACTTATAGATGCATATACACTTGTGTATTGTGTATATGATCTTTTCTTGAAAGGCTGCTCTGGGGAGCGAGTCTGGGCTGGTTGGATGAACTTGAAATGAAAGGCACTCCAAGGTCAGAGCTACCATTCCCCTTTTGTGATACATTTAAGGGTCAGGGATAGAAGCTCTGTCAAAAGCCCTGTGTTGTACATATCACTGTATAGGACACCATCTAGTTTACTGGCCTTAAAACAGAAGCATGACACTTTAGTCTTCTGTCCTTTTGTCTGAATGGAGAGCGTGCATCCAACCCTGGGCATGTTTGAATTGTAGTTACTCTCCAATAAGACAAGGCAAAGAATTTAGGCTTTCATTTTGTAACATCAAGGTCAGGATCATTATTCGGGGCTCCTCTGATACACAGCCCTGGTCAAATTCTCTGCCCATGGTGCTGGAACCTGACACCCCGAGTTTGGAGGATGTGGTAACATGAGACAGTTATGTAAAAAGGAGCAAGCAAAATCCATGCTTGCAATTAAGAAAAAAGGCAAAAGATTGCTGCTGTTCCTATAAAGGCCCAAAGATTCATTTAGAAAAGAAGAAGAAAAAGTACAGTACGGAATAATGCAATAACAAACAACAAACCAAAGCAGATGAAACAGTAGGAGTCAGTGAAAGACAATGCTGCTCCCAAAGTGAATTTAACTTTGTCTGCAATAATTTGGGATTAGAATAGGTGCATTAATTGCTTACACTTATACATCTGTTCAAGAAATTGCAGCTGTACTACTCACAAGAATGCTGATGATAATACAGAAAATTATTATTTTTGCTTATTATTAACATTAAGGCCTGGCCATCTAATATCTGTTGTGGACAAGGGTTATCATGCTGATTTTTAAATACAAAGTCACTAAAGCTCAGAAACAGTAAAAGAATTGCCCAAGTCCATTAGCTATGAAGGCAAGATTTCTCAACATTGCCAGTTTTGACATCTTCAACTGGATCATTATTTGTTGTGGGGAACTATCCTGTAAGCGTGTGATTTGGGACCACATTGTCATTTTTCCACAGAAAGATGTTACAGAAATCTTAGCTTCAACCTATGAGATACCAGTAGCACCCTCCACTCCCCAGGATAAAAAAGTGTCTTTGGATAGTGTCGATTTTGGCCCCACTCTAGAACTGCTGTCACAGGGATGGAGCTGGGTTCACAACTAGGTCTGCAGACCTTCCAAACCTGAGACCATTAGGTTCCTCATACACCAAGTCATAACCAAGATTTGGCTTAAACCAAGAGTCATAGACCAAGAGATGATTTCTGTATAAAAATGGTGGGATTAAACACAGGTATAACATCTCCCTCTAAAAAGAGAATCTAAAATCAAAACAGTTTAACCTCATGCTATAATCTTCGAAAAGTGGTAGCTATAACATTAAACACTCTGATGAACTAGATATGGTTTTCATTCTTCCCTTCTGCTCCTTGAAGTGATCCTAGAGAATTAATGTCAATTAAACAAATGCAGAGAGGTGCAGAAGAATGCCCCAAGGAAGCACAAGAAAGCCAAGGGCAAATCCTGGAGTAAAAAAGACCTGCTTGCTTTGCGAAGCTCTCATGAAAGGCAAGAAAGTTCCTTAGCTTTCTCTTGGTCCCATGGCGCCAGTCTGTCTGGGGACAGATCCAAGAACATTTTGAGCAAGTCCAGCTCATGGCTGGGATGTCAGCCATAAAGTCCGTGAAGGAACATTTGCACCCAGCAAGTCCATAACCCCAGTCCCCACTGGGCAGTGCTTCTCCTCCTCAGATTTCTCAGACTTCAGAAAACTTGGTGGCACATACATTCAACCCACAAACCCCTGCAGAGAAATTAAAGTTTCAGTTAAACTGGTCAAAATGTCAAAGAGATTTTACCCTTTCTGGGTGAGAATCAATAGAGGATCTGGACCTAGTAGTCCATGATAAGAAAGAGCTAGCAAAATGATGTAATTACGAATATATTTGTTTTACCTTGTTTTCTGTTGCTATAACAAAATATCACAGACTGAATAATTTATGAATAAAGTGTTTATTCAACTCACAATTTTGGAGGTTGGCAAGTTGAAGATAAGGCAGCTGCACCTGGTGAGGACCTTCTTGTTGGTAGAGACTCTGCAGAGTCCCAAAGAGGTGGAAGACATCACATATTGAGACAAAAGCAAGCTTGCTGATGTGGATCTCTCTTCCTCTTCATATAAAGCCACTGATGCAATCATGGGGCCCTATAATAAAATACAAAATAATATGATATAATATAACCAATATTATAAAATAAAAAGAAATGGATGAATAATTGATATGTATATAGGCAAAATGAACAGGACTTCAAAATAAGAGAGCCAAGTCTAGAAGAGAAAAGAAAGGAGAAGAAATTTTTCTGAGAGGGCTTGGGCTTTTAGAAGGTATAGGACAAAGGTGGTGAACCTATGGCATGTGTGTTATTTGTTTGTATTTTAAGATGAAAGATATTAATGTATGAAATGTTTTCTCTAAACTAAAATCTCAGTATTCAGGTTTAATTGCAGTATTGGCACTTGGTGATAAATAAGTGGGTTTTGGGTTATGGGCACTTGTCTCTAAAATGTTTGTCATTGCTGCTATAGGACTTATCATTTTAAATAATAAAAGTTTAGTCAAATGAGCTTTCTAAACAGCAGATTAAAAGAGAGAAAAAAATGAACCCCAGGAATTCAGCAAGTAAATTGAGGATGAGAAAGAGTATCTTTTTGGGAAAATAAATAATAGTGAAAATGATAAGCAGCATAGTTGAAAATGAAATTACTGACACAGAGGAGGAATTGAGGAAATCACTGTGTACAAGAAAAAGAAATTTAATGCAATAGAGATAAGAGAATAAATATGAAAATCAAAGTTAATTCAGGCCAATGGATGTATTTTAAGAACAGAATACAACAAATGGGATGGAAATACCATTAGAAGATGTAGTAAAAGAAAATTATCCTCTTGTTTAGGAAGAGATGAGTTTTATGTTGAAAGATTAAACTCTGTTTTTAGGGCAACACAAAGATAGATATTTTCTCCCTAAGTTATTAAATTGCATACATAAAGAATTTTGAGGCAGCCAGAAATGAGAAAGCATCTGTCAGTCCATCTACACATCCATCCAGCCACCCACTCATCACCCAACCATCTATTTATTTTGACTTGAGCAGGTAGAATATGTATGGGGTTTGGAGTTTTATAGTTTGAACAGTTAAGATTCACTAGATAAGCTCTCTAAATCTCAGTTTGAAGCTTCCTCATCTACAGAAAGGAAACAATCACACCTGCTTATCAGGATTGCTTTGAGTTTATAATGTTATGCCTGGCACAGTGTATAGCATTTGACGGTCTCTTAACAAAAGAAAATTCTCTTTTTCATTGCTTATGGCCATCTTTTTTCACCCTCTCATCCACCCGTCCACCCATCCATCTAAGAAACTTTTATTGGACAGGTGTTTTCTAGCTTCTAGTGACCCTTTAATGTGAAAAGATGAAGCTCCTGCCCCCTTGGCAGAGAGAATAACCCAGGTAGGTTGGGAGAGGTAGCAGAGCTGTGGATCACAAGATTTAGATGCTCTGCAAAGAAACCCAGCCAGTCTTTCATTAACTCTTCATTTTAGAGAAAAATTCTAACTCGTCCCTCTGTTGTTGGTTAGCCTGTCAGAATGACAGAATTGTTCAGAGATCTTAGCCAGTGGAAGAATGCTGTGTTAATTTTGCCTCCTCCTGCCTCTTCTGCCTCTGTTCTGACTCCCACCAGTTAAGTGCTCTGGCTCTTTATCATGGCTTTGAAATTAAAACACACACATACATACACACACACACACACACACTGGAATTAAATTAACCACACAGTTGCCACAGCAACGAAAACATATAAACTTAAATGATTTATATTCACAGACAACACTTCAGAAAAGAATAAATTTAATCCCACAGCTGGGAATGAAATGGATTGTACACTAAGAGAATTGTATTCTTCTCTCCTAGATGAGAGGCTTCCAGCTCTTACTGTGATGTAGGTGAAGATGGGGCTGGGAGAGGAAGTCAGCCAGCGAGCCTCTCAGGCTCACACTGGAGGTCAGGGTTCACACCCAGTTCACACAGAGCTCTCAGCCCTGGTCTGCATTGCCAGAGCATTTTCCGCCAGCAGCTCCAGCTATGAAGTGTTGTACACGTTACCCCATGAACCTTAGGCATGTCTTCCTATCACGTAGGGTTCACATTCACTAATGCTGTACACAGGTTTGTGTACGTCCACAGCCACAAACCCTGAGATTGGATTTATACTCAAGTGATATCCTTCACCGAGACATGGACTGAATGGGGAGTGGGGAGACTGTGCTTAAAAAATAACAAAGTGAAACCGGCAAAACAGGTATTTTGCAAAAATTTCTGTGTTGCCCTAGCACTCTCCTGTTAGAGATCATGGGACCAATGTAGTCCATTAGTGCCAGAGGAGAAGGAACACTTTTTATGTTGCTAAATAATTACTCAGTCTATGTTAGGAGGAAGTATGGTACTTCATTTCTGCTGTAAGAGAGATAATATGTATATGCAATATGTATAAAAATAAATGACAGCACATAGTGCCTTGAAACACGTAGCTTTTATTTTTCATTTATTTTCCATATTTTGCCTATTTTGACCCTTTGCAATCACCAAGAACAGAAATTCCTCTACTATACAAGCAGCCAAACAAGGTAGCACATACCCGTAATCCTAGCAGTCTGGGAAGCTCTGAGGCAGGAGGATCCCAAGTTTGAGCCCACTAAATGAATCGTTTCGCACACTACTTTGGCAACCATTGAATTGGAGGCTTTGTTCTTACTTTGAAAAGAATCGGCACAAATGGTAGCCACAGAGAAAATTTACTTCAGCTTTCAACATAAGATCCTGAGGATCAAACTGGAAGATTATGAGGTGATTTGGCACAATATAGCAATAGGCTGAAGCAAAAATAGATGGGGGGGGCAGTTACAGGCAGCTCTATCTCAGATATCCTCCGACCTCCCAGAGGACGTGGTCGGTCAGGCCATGAGGAGTCCTGGCCTTAGTCAATGTCTCCTCCAGTCTCCAATTGGATGGGCACTGTGGCACCTGGACTGGGGAGCTGTTCATCAGGTCACTGTCCCTTGAGAGCTGTTCATCAATAGTGACTGCTGATCGCCTCTGTGTGGTCCAGAGGTGAAGACCGGCCCTGCCTGCAAGACTGCTGTGTCCATTCAAATTACCTCATCTGCACAAGGCCACCTGGGAGTGCCAGGATCTGTGAAATCACCCTCCAACACACAGCCAAAGTGGAAATGAGTGCAGTGGGATCTCTGGTGCTCACAGGATGATAGGGGTGTGTGCAAAGAAAAGTCCAGCCCTATTCTTTAATGAAACTGCACAGAGATGAAACTACCTGGATTACATGTCATCAAAGCTCACTAATCTAATCCACTGATTTTGCATTGTTGATTTTCCATACTGTAATGATATTAAAATCATTTCTCTGTGTAAATAATTTCCAGTTGTGAATATTTATGCTATCAATCAGCTCAAACATATGGTGAATGTTTAAATTTAAAAAAAAGTATTACAGCAAAAGACACATTTCCATCAATTCCCCTTAAAATACACCCACCCCCACTTCAAACACATGTATTCTACAATCCTTGCCATTTTCTGAAGCAGTTCTGGAAGTCCTCTTTTGTGGCTTTACAAGGTGTGATAAAAAAGATATGATGAATGCTGTCAAGTGCCATTCAATGGAAAGGCATATATATATATATGCATACACACACACACACACACACAGTATAATGCTTAATATGTATGAGCCCCTATCAGGAAACAATCTATTCATTCCCCCTTTAATTAATGTATGTGGAAAAAACAAAAAAGTTGTGATTTATTGATATTCTATAATCTAGAACCTTTTGTATTTCAAAGAGTTCTTCTACCAGTTATTCGTGGACTTGGGAATTGAAAAAAGAGTTTGGATCCTGGCTTTACTACTTACTAACTGCAGCTTCAGACCAACTGTTTAACCCCTGAGAGTCTTGTTTTCCCCATCAGCAAATTGGGGATGATAATATCACTCTTGCTGGATCACTGTAATATATTTATAATTAAAAGCATCTCTTATCAAGTCTAGCACACAGTGGCCACTCAAAAATGTAGCTGCTCTTATTATACTAATTAGTGTGACTGGATGAAATTTCGCTTTGTGTGCACCTATATTTTCACTAATACGTATTTACTTTTATGAATTCAAATAGGATGCATGGATACTCTACATCTGAATGTACATATGAAGGGTAGATGGGTTTTAGAAAGACAGGTACTTTTTACCACCGTCCATTCCCTGAGGTTAGGGTTTTCTAGGCCTCGAGGAGAAATCTGAGCAAGACCAGGGGTCTCAGAATCAAGAACAGTCATTGGCTGCCTGGAATTACTTCTCCCCTCTGCAATGGGGACAAGTCTCACCAACTAGCAAGTGAGGCAAACATGGGTTATAATTTTATATTTGCTTTTTTTTGTGGTAAAATACACATTTGTCATTTTAGACATTTTAAAGTATGCAATTTCAGAGCATTAAAGCTCACCACTGTGTGAAACAGAGACTCTGCCTATTGGAAATCATTCTCCATTTCCATGCTTCAGTCCCTGGCTACCCCTGACTTACCTGTCTGTAGAGTTCCCTCCCTTTGTCCAAACAGAATCCTATGAAATGTGTTGCTGTGTGACTGACTTCATTCACTTAATGCTTCCAAGGTTCATCCCTTTGTGTAGCAAGTGTGAGTACTTCATTCCTTCTAATGGCTGATGATATTCTCCCATATGGGTAGACCTCCTTTAATGTATCCTGTATTTGCTTTTTAATTCCATCAGTACATGTAAGATACATGACATTGAGCCAAGGAGGCTCCATTCAGTGAGAGTGACTCAAGCAACCCTGTCTTCTGAACATGGGGCAGCCTCATAGCCTCTTTTGGCTACAAGTGTTTTACTTGTGAAGTGAAGATAATGATTATTGTCAGGGTTAATGGGGCAATTAAATGAAATGCACAGAGTATAAATGTACCAGGCACACAGGAGGTGTTATAATCCACCTTTGTTTTTCTCCAAATGCCTTAACTTCATAGACATTCTTTATAAAGTAAATGCCATGGATCAAAGCCCCTGGGGAAGGCATAGGAGGGTGATACCCAAGCGCTGCTTTGCGGGCAAT